AATATTATAAGCAAAACGACCTAGTCATCACATATTTGTTATCACCAAGGTACTTTTAGGAATTATTATTATTATTATTATTATTATTATTATTTTTATTACCTCTATCTTTGTTGTGTACGCAGTGTAGTTTTTTTTAGTTCATGTTTTTTCTATTCAGTATTATTAATTAAGTTTATGTAATTTTATTATATTTCTATATGTTTTAATGATTTTTCCTTTATATGATTTAAAGCCGTTTGTTTTTAAAATGTTTTTCGTTTCATAACTACTATGTTATAATAATGTATTATTTTTGATGTTGTTGAATTTGTTTTGAGTCATTACAGTTACGTTATAATTTTGTGCCAAAATGTGTGTTTAAATTAATATTGTATTTGATCGGTATTTAATTTAATAATTTTTCATTTATGTCTATTCCTTTAATACCTCGCGCTTTTTAAAATACTAATAATGAGTTATACAATTTAAATTTTATGTTATTTATTAATAAAAACAAATTATATTACTTTGATATGTTTTTAAAAAAAGAAAAAAATCATGCTATAGCTTACAGGAAATTGTAATTTTAATAATTATTTTTAACATTTTTTGTTGTTGTTTTTTTTTTTTTTTAATAAAATATCAAATGAGCCTTACAATTTTGTCATTATTTTAATTATATATTCTTTTGTTTTTAAACAAAATTATACTGTTTAGTGTATTTGTTTTAAAAATAATAGTAGTTTATATTAACTGATAAAATCCTCAATTCTTATTGCAAACAATAATAGCATTATCCTAAAGTTTATGGGTTGCCTCAAAAATTTTTGAGAATTTACGTGGTAGAAGAGATTGGGATTTGTTCTGGTTACTTTTAAATATACAATTATGCCCCGCCAGTTGTAAAAAAAAAAAAATGATTCATTTATAGGTTCACTATAATTTAATGGACTAAATCACGTTACATCAACCATCGTTTATGTATGTTCACTATATTGGTTCATCAAATATTTAGTGATTGTGTATTTAACCCGGCAATATTAGTTAAATAATTTAAGGCCAAAAAGAGGTCCCGAAAAATATACTCAGGCTGATGTACATAAAATATCTATGACAAATTATCCGCTACATCGTGATTGCCAGCATTCTGCAATACATCAATACATTATAATTTCTAAATTAATAGCCTTCACTGATCACATATTATATATTATTAATATTGTAATACAGATTATAACATTAAAAGCCCTAGGCGGTACAGACTTTACTGCCATAGGTAATACTATACTATCAAAACTGATGACCAATTGTCTAGCCATAAGATATAGTTTTGCCGGAAAGAGTAAAAAAAATATCTTTCAAAGAAACTTTCCCTACAGTTTTGAAGAAAATTATAAGTGAGTATATCTATGTATTTTTAATGCAAAAACCAATTGTTAGTGTACATAATCATCAATGATGACACATAACAATATATTATCATAAGCCCGCAGTGCTGTATGCTGTACTTATATTTTTAGATGCACGATTTCATAAACCAACCTCTACTCATAAAGAAATTCATGATCAAATTTTTAGATGGTTGGTCCAAGTCCAGTTAAGAAAATCTCGACAAGAAAAAAAGTAAGTTAATTTTCTATCAACAATAAATTATGAAATTTGTTAACTAGTTATTATGAAATTCTACTTTGGGATTCTCAATTTTTTTTATATTAATGTTAATAAAAAAAAGTATTTGAAAAATTAATACAGTGCTTCTCGTAAGTTATTATAATAGTAGTTAAAAGATATTAATGATCCAATTATTTTTAAGTAGGTATTTAAAATTCAAATTTTGACCAAAATCTCGAAAATTTGAAAATTATTTTGTAGTTAAAAATGTACAATATTATATATTTTGGTAGCTAAAAATTTAAAATGTATTACAAAGATGGTCATAAATAGTTCATTATATGTGTGTCACATTTTAAGTTCAAATTGTTTTTCCTATAAAATAATTTTATGTTAATGTTATTAAATCTAACACATCCATTATAGTTAGAATAACGCACTATTACTCGCTTTTTAATTTTTTAATGATAATTTTCTTTTTTCATGCAAATTGATCAATCAAGTTTTCAAGAATAGATATATATATATATTCTATCATTCTATGCACCTTTATGACGACAGCAGAAATCTGCGAAATAATATAATAATACCTACATTATCATCTAATACATTATTTTTTTTATAATATACCTAATTGTATTTAAAATAAGTAATGTCACTAAGTACCTATAGTTAATTAACTGAAACAATAAATACACATCACTGACTTATCATATTAATTTTCCTATATTTTATTTAATCTATTTTGTACCTAATAAAAATATTTATTTATAGCTGATCCCGTGCACTTCGTTGCCCATTAAAAATGCCAACTCTATATGAATAATATATGTTTTTTTTATAATATAACTGTTACCATAACAACAATTTTAAACCAATGGTAACCAATAATAATTATTATTATAGCTTTGAAACCAACGGCAACCATTTATAAACAAAAATTTCCATCGGAAATCTCAAAATCTTTGTTTGAGCACCTGATCCCGGGGTTGGTCCTCTCCCTTTTTAAAATAACATATCTTCTGCACAGATGTCTAATCTATCTATATATAGAAAAATATCTGATCCCGTGCACATCATTTCCCGTTAAAATTGCCAACTTTATATGAATAATATGTTTTACATATCACCATTCACCGTGGCAACCATTTATATACAAAACATTCCATCGGAAAATTCCAAATAATATATATAAATATATATATATATGGTTGCCATGGTAATATGGACACACACACACACTGACATACATTCATTTTTATATATATAGATAGATTTAACTTTTTTGTAATTATATATTGTGTTGGATAATATTCATGAATGTTTAATTTTAATTTTAATATTTTTATTATTGATTATAATGAATGTTAAAATATTATAAGTTGTTGAAATTAGTACATTTGTTTGTTAAAATGTGTTGTTAATTATTTTTATTGTCATCTCAATTTGACTCAATATAATATAATATATTTGTATTAATAATAGTAGGTAGGACCTATAAACAAACTGCTCCAATAAAGTATTATTAAAATTTCTTATACAAATATTTGATAATTGTACTTATTTGTATAAAATATATATATATTGGTAATTTAATTCATACCAATTTCATGAATGAAACATAGCTGATATAAATATTAGTTTCAGTTGTATTCAATATAAATATTTCAGAAATAATGAAATATTATCAATATGTTTGTTATCAATAAGCGGACATAAGAAGTAATATGCAATCTTCCAGTTACGTAATTGTTACTAAATGTTATGTATTGCAATATAACATTTCTTTCGATGTTGTATTTCAGAACTATACGACGTTGTTAGGGTATACACGAGCGCACACTGTGCGGCGAACAAGGTGTGTGAACAATGCATGTATGTGTTCGCTCATGAGAACGATGTTTGAGGCCTGTTCTGCCAATTCGTCAACGTAAGAATTCGCATGTTTTCTACCCCAAAATTTGATGACAGAGAGAAAAAAAACACATCAATGTAAAACCATTACATTCATTGCTAAGCTCAGAATCTAAAATACACCAAGTGCTAAATCTAAAACTTGCGGTTTCCCATCAAGGTCGACTTATTTCAGAAAACGAGGTTCACTGGTCACCGACGCCTATTTGCTCGTGATCTGAGGTAGGTACATTAAAACTGAGTTACACCTGTAGTGTGAGCGGGAGCGTTCAAATATTATGGAAGTTTACACCGGCACTTTAACTCTTCTTAATGAATAGGGAGTAAGGAACTTCTGTTTACACAGGAGGGTGCGCCTACAGGGAATAAGAAGGTGTGTACGACAGCCGACAGGTACCTTAATGATAATAACCAGTATAAGCCCCTAGTGATAATAACCACTATAATTAAATATATGACACTAACCGTCCTACACAATAATTAATAACAGTTATATAATAATAACTTTCTAACAAGCTCTGAGTAGAATTAGGTACCTGATACAATGATAATAACAGTATATGACTCACTGTACTCTAGAGTTCAGGAACTGGCCAGCTGCACAATTGTTGCCTATAAAATCTTATAGTTAACAACTTCAATTATAATAATTGACTAATATATAGATAGTATAACAATTTAAATTATATAATACTAGTACCTATCTGTTTGATAGTATCTACTATGTCAAAATTTGATAGTATAATACACTACTAATTTAAATTACAATATTAAAGACTAATCAGCGCAGAACGTAACATTATTGTACGTCCTATGCTCTTGATATAAAAAACTAGTAACTCAATAAGAATAAAATCAATTTTATAATATACTTGTATGACTTATACTTTTTTAACTTATATACTTTTATATATAAAACAACACCGAACAATACAAATCAATAAAAGTCTTGATACAAAATAATAATAATGATAGTAGTGGAGGTAGGAACGTCAGGCTGGGTAAAAGCATAGATAGCAGTTAATGTGACAGCACCTAAGGCGCAACACGCAATTGTTTATGCATGAACATCCCGGCCCCCATGAAGCCCTGAGCTTCATTCATCTTCAGTAGGTAGCGGACATTCTTGATTTCGGCCCGTTTTAACAGCTGTCCACTAGCAGTAAGCACAGTCACTGCCCTTACCGAGCCACCTTTTTCCAGTATGTATTTCGATGATTCTTACCATTTTCCACTGGAGGGGTGGGGCATTATCCTCTTTCAGAATAGCCAGTGTTCCGACCTTCGCGTTTGAAGTAAGAATCAACCATTTAGCCTTGCTTTGAAGTTAAGATAGGTATTCTAGGAGCCAACTCTTCAAGAACATTTGGGTAATCTTTTAAAAAATTCGCATCTCTTCAGCCTATTATCTGGAGTTTCAGAATAATCAGATTCCGGAGGCAATTGTACTGGTCCGGCTTTCAGAAAGTGGCCAGGGGTGAGACGCTGCAAGCTTACAGGATTTGCAGACAAGGTAGTAGCGGGCGAGAGTTGAAACGTGAATTTATTTGGGCATGCGAAGTAGATAAATCTTCAAAGTTGAGGGTAGCAGCGTCTGCAACTCGAACCTGATGATACTTGACTGCCTCCATCACTGCTTCCATCACTCCACAGGAGTGCAAGGAGGTGTGAATACTCATTGCACTCTTTCTTCTGCTAGATCTTTGGAAATCGTACGGTCGGTAAGTTACTCCTTCAAATAGCATTCTTGTTCATTCTTGGCTAAAACAAAATGTGTTCCATTGTCCAGATATGCGACGACTTCCCACGGCGAAATATAAATCCTTTCAACGCCGCCATAAATGCTGCGATACCCAGAGCACTAACTGCTTCTAGATTTATATCCTTCATTTACAGACATACAAATAATGCTACGTAAGCCTTGGTTGTGGTAGACTTTCGAAATCTAATCTTTATCAATAAAGTGCCAGCAAAGTCTATTTCAGCCTGTTTGAGCAAATACTCGACTAGGAATAACCAGCGGGGAGGCAGTTAGCCTATGGCTGGCAGCAACGAACTAGGCCGGGCTCTAAAACATTTAAGGCAGTTGTGAACCGTTGCTCTTGCTACATCACGTCCCCGTAGTACCCAAAATTCTTCTCTTATTGCTGCCAATAAGCCTTGCGGTCCAACCTGCATGTACCTGTGAGGGCATTCTCGATTTATTGATTCCGTCACCACGTGTTTTCTAGGAAAAATAACAGGAGACTTTCTACTGGATGGCACATTTAAATTCTCTAATCGACCACCAAATTTCTATAATTCGTTGTCGATAAAAGGTATTGTTATAAACCCATTTCATTTAGAAGTAGTAAATGGTACTATAAGCATTTATTATTATAATATGTATATTGTATATTTATCTATGTATATATGTGTCCATCTATATTATTATTATATATATGTATCCGAGTACCCGTGGGAACGAGCACGGCGGCAGCATATGACATTCCGCTGCTTGGACAGTTTTGGTAGCCACAGCGGGCCTGTCGTCCTCGACCGTCACCAAGGGAAGTCAGTCGTATTCCAACAGAATATCTGTCCGAACCTCCCGAACTCATGTAAATTAAATTGTTTTACATTGTTTAAAATAAAAGACATAGTCGGTTATTTCGCCAAGCTTATTTTATTTAATTTGTCGTGTAGACGTACACAATAGTATTTGAAGTGATAACCTCGACTCTCGAGTAACCTGCTTCTTATTTCTTATACAATTCATCTCTTCTGAAAATGCTCGTCTCTGTGTGTACCTAATCAAAAATACCTTCTTTTCCTCGCTGTAGTTCTGTTACTGTTAATGATCCTGTTTGTGGCTTGGTACACGTGGGATATTTACGCCATTAGAGCCACTAAAAAAACCTTACCCATATTGCAGATATTCTTACCACATTGCTCCAACTTGAGTATATATACATTAGTCCGTTCTTGGGCACAGTAGTGCCTAATGTGAATTTAACTTTCCGGTCCTGAGCTTCTTCATTGAACATGGATTTCTCTGCTACCTTTGGCCACATTTGATCATCCTTTAGAAAGCTTGGACCGTTCGACCATAATTCGGACTTTGCTAGATCCACAATGTTAATATCCCTCGATAACTGATAGGCAGGGTTTACGCTAGTATTTACATAGCGTCAATTGTTTTCACCAGTGAGTTATATGATCTGAGCAACGCAGTTGCTCACGGATGTCTTCCACTGGGAGGTCCCACCCTTTATCCTAGATAGGACCACCGTAGAACAAAATATCTCATCGTTTGAGATTTCTAGGTTCGACGATATACGACTAATGAGCTCTGCTAGCGGGTGCGCACCACTCAGATCGAGTCTGGGTATTTTGAAGCTCTCAGAAGGGACCACCCTGGACTTAGCACAGAGAAATTACATGCTAAAATTACTTTGCTCTAATGCTTGTTTAAAATATACATGGATGAACCTTATCATACGGTGTGTATGCGCTTTGTAACGCGTCACACACCTAACCCTTAATAACTTAATATTATTAATATATAAGCATTATTATACATTTATATTTTATACCTATACTCCGTGTGTATATTTTATATTTTATGTACATACTATATATATATATATATATATAAATGCTATGGGGTGGCGGGAGGGTTGGTTTATTTCCCTTCCCCCCTGGAACAGCATGTATAACCACCACTGTTCCCGAGGCTCACGTCAACCCACGGGTGCAACGGGGTAATACAACGATTCTTTTAGTAACTGATGACAGTAGCTGGGTAGAGCCTTATCCCTTAGGAAAGGTGACAACCAAATTGATTGTGGGCACATTCGAACTGGAGTTGTTCGGATATCTGAGGCATTATTGTCAGATATTGGCCAGCATTTCATGTCCAAGTCAATGGGATAGGAACTCGGGAGTTGGGGAGTGGGAGGATGGACCACTCCAATATACAACCCACGTGCCAATCAGGTAGAAAGGCGAAATCAGGTGGCCGCCGTCGGTGCGAGCCATCAGCTCTAGGTGATTAAAAAGATCGGAGCATTTTTACCACTCCAAATGTTGAAACTTTAATGACAGACAAAAAAAACACACATCATTGTAAATATTATAGGGACATTCATTCTGTTTAAAGTGAAGCTTGATGGACTAATGACTTTTGGAATTAGTATAAATTAATAATAATACGACTATATGATTAGTATAAGTATGATATATAATAACGTACAACTGGACAATTAACTGTGTCAGTACACACACACCGTATACGCACTGTACGACGGTTCCTATGCAAGTGAGTATTACATATATCAAAGGCCCTATATATATCCACAACCTAGTTAGTGTTACATCTGTAAAAGAGGGTGAGTCGTATACTCGTATAACTAGATACTAAACTGTACACACGTGTTAAGGTTGACTACTAATATTAATTGTACATTTCAACACATTCGCTATGGTCAGAATCTAAAAAACTTTAATAAATAGGTTCAAATGTTAATAAATAGTTTAAAAAGAGTCGAAAGTCGAAGAATTTTTAAAATTATAGCACTTATAGATTATGTTAATATAAAGAGCTGGTAAACATTTCAAGTATCTACAATCATTTTTTTATTATCATTTTTATTATAAATTATTACAACATTAAATAATCTAATTTCAATATTTCGTTTGGTATTATGAATAGTATTACATTTTATTGTTCTGATTTGCGATGGGAGTGTTCTATGTGGATTGAGTAGGTCCAATAATCGATCCATATCATCTATATCTGCCAGAACTTGCTGGTATCTGTCTTGACAGTAATGACCGTTTTGTTTTTTTTCAGCATTTCCTCTGCCCGATCCATTACTTTGTACACCATTGGATCCACCCAACCCACGCATGGGCAGTAAGGTCTTTTAACCTTTGATTCACATCTTGGCTTGTATTTTGGATTTATTAATCGGTAGTTATTCGAATCATTGAGGTCCAACCTGTATCGTCTGCCATTTTTCTTTAAATTTTCTACGACTAATGAACGAATATTTTCTGTGTCCCTGTCCACTTGTGCGTAACGTTCCACTATCCATTGAAATTCTTCCAGGCTTAGTGGGCTGTTATTTTTCTTTGCCCATTTGCTGACCGAGTACCACTTTGAGAGTCTCTGGCCATTCAAACCACACATGTTTGCCGCTTCTTCCAAGAGAAATATATTCAGTCTCAATCCTTCCTTTTTCCATTCCGGCATAGATTTCAAGTGGGATTTTAATCCAGGATTCGGTACTAATGTGTAATAAACTTGACGTGACCGGATCGCCAAATCTGCTTGTGTTGAATATGTCCTCTTTGAATTTAATAAAGCCCCTTCGCCCACATCTACGTACAAGTTTTCCTGTCGGGGTAAATTTCTTCTACACTGACACGCCATTATTTTAGTTACATTGGTTTGACCAGGTTAGTTTCGCGTATGATGTATATTAGCTTCGATTAAGTATATACTACTATTTATAAAAATATAAATATTAGACGTTATCGTCAAACAATGTTCGTTACCATACCTATAGAAAATTAATCACAGTTACAAGAGTTGGCATGGTTAGCACTACACGTCTACACATGCTACTATGTACGGGAGCATGGCGGCATGGGGCTACATGATACACTTTTGGTATTTATGTATTTTCCACAAAACTGATGCAATAAAATATTTCTAAATTATTAATAGGTATTCATTAGATAGGTACACATTTAATGATTGATATTATTATGATAACCAGTAAAAAATAAATATATTTGTAAGTTATATACTTCTTTAGAAAAAAAACAATAATAATTTCACACATCACCAAAGAACGGGGAAATATGATAACTGCCAGCGATAAAATGATACAAATTAGTCAACATTTTTATATTATGTTAGAAAATTCTACCCTTGTCCAATCATTACTTATAAATTATAATAAATACTAAATTAATCCATATTGAAAATGAATAGCTAAAATGTACATTGTGCAATGTATATGTTACGGGCAGATTAGGAAATCGGGCATCGTTATGCGATGACAGTTTTTTCAGTAAGTATGATTATTTTAATACTCAAATTTCTCATACATTAGCCGGGCAAGTGTATTTTGTTAGGATTCAAATGAGCAGAGAAAATAAAAATGTTGTAAAAGTATTATTTAACTCTAAATAATTCTACCAAGTTTATTTTGATATAATACGGTGGATTAATATAACCAATTAATACATAATCCTAACCTAACCTAACCGTACTAAAATCCAATAAATAAAAAAAACCAAATTTAACCCTTTTTAAATTAGCCTATCTTCTTCCCAGAGATCTGCACACAAATATTCATTTATGTATACCTACTAATATTATAAATTCGATATGATGCATGCTTGTACCTGATCTACCCGATTAACCAATAGCAACCAATAATAAATAATTAATAAATACTATTTATATTAATTATTTCTCCTATAACCAATAGCAACCATTTATGAAAAAAATATTTCCATCGTAAATCTCAAAATCCCTGTTTCAGCACTTCTATTAATTGGTCGTAGCGGGATGTTATATAGCCTATAGCCTTCCTCGACAAATTAACTATTCAACACAAAAATAATTTTTCAATTCGAACCAGTAGTTCCTGAGATTATCGCGTTTAAACAAACAAACAAACTCTTTAGCTTTATAATATTAGTACAGATATTGCGCTTCTACGCGAACACTATAATTGAAAACTCTATAATCTAAATAATATTTCATTACTAATCGTAAGACTTCTATTCGATATTTTTGAATGATTATTGTCACAAAGTCATGTAGTCTATCATTACTAGGTAGGTACAAGGTACTCATTAGCTTATGATATTATTAACACAGAATATAATGTTGTTTTTTCTTTTGATCAACGTTTCTAGCTATTTTCTAACTTAAAATGGAAAAAAAGTTTAACCGCGATAAGTTTAACAGTTTACTATTAAACAAAAATACGAATACAGTATTTTTAAATAAAGTAAAATACGATGAATTAATTTTAAAAATGAATAAAGTGACAATTAAAACAACAAAAAATACTACAGATGATTACAAATTAAATAAATATATGATGTTGTAAGTATATCACGGATTGAAAATGTAGTCGTACCAGTATCCTAAAGTTTTTTAATTGAGTATTATAATTTACAACGAACAATTATTTCAACTTCTTAATAAAACACATGTCACATGTATCTGCGGGACCATATGGAGTATGAATTGAACTTGAATATAAAAATATAACAAGGAAGACTATAATGATATTTTTAAATTTATGTGACCACTGTCCAAAAAAATAGTAGTACAATAAAAAAGGTTTAATTGTAAAACCTATACTTTCATCAGAATTGAACTCTCGCTGTCAAGTTGATTTAATTGACATACAATCCCAGTCTGATCGAAATTATAAGTTCATAATAGTCTATCAAGATCACCTTTCGAAGTTCGTATAATTCTTAGACCGTGAACTCATAAACGGGCTGAAGAAGGAGCCTACCTGGTAATTGATATTTTTACAACATTTGGAGCACCGGCAATTTTGTAAAGCAATAATGGTAGCATTGGAAGCGAATTTTCCAATTAAGTTATTATTGAGTTGTGTAGTGTAATATGTGGGAACAACTTAATATTGTCCACAAAGTCAAGAATCTATAGAAAGGACTAATCAAGACATTCAAAATATAGTTGCAACATGGTTAGCCGATAATCATTCCATAAAGTGGAGTGAAGGGCTTAAGTTCGTTCAATTAATGAAGAATGTGAGTTTTCACGATGGTATAAAACGTTCACAGTACAAAGCTATATGTTCGAAACACATTCTAAAGTTGGATTAAAATTAACCCAAATTTCAATAGGTTTAATCTCTACTTTAAAATCAGAGGAAGACCTAGAAAATGCTCTTAGTTTTGGAAGTGTCATAAAAAAAAAAGAGGAAAACCAAAAAGTGATGAAAGGGACAGTGCAAAATAACTTTCTGGTACTTATCTAATCTTAAAATTATAAAATAATTTTTTTATTAATATTTGTTTTACAGTTTAAGATAATTAAATTATGAATGAATAATAATGAGTAATGAAACTGGAACAAAAGAGGGCAGACTTCATCAACTCAACAGTTTGAACGAATTCACGATATCCAAAGAGGTTTTTATCCAGGCTAATGAGGTACCACCAGTACAGATTTCTTTAAGAGAAGTTCTAATTTTATGTTTATGACCAGGAATGTGAATTTAATGCACTAAAAAAACCTTAAAAAATGTCAAAAAAATTCAATAAAATATGCACATAAAATGCCAAAAATTATAGTATAAAATTCACTTAAAATGGTTTTTAATTTAATTTTTATACTTATATTGATATTATAGGATATAATACATTAGTACATTACATTTTACATGCATAAAATGTGTTTATTTAATAAAAATATTGATTGAATTTGAATTTTGTATAATGCTATTCACTTGAAACATTTTTTAACATTTTTTTTATGTAGTTATTTTGTTAAAATAATAAAACAAACTGAACTATATTTAATTGCGAGTAACTAATTCATATTTAGTCTTTACTATATTGCATTGAACAAAAAAACAAAAAAACATTTTTCAAACATGTCAATTGACGGAATTTGATTAAAAAAAATAACTAAACAAAGGAAAATATGACCTAAAAATGCAAAATAAAAGTTTCATAAATAAATTCGTAGTTACATAATTCAAATTATGTACTTACAAAGCTACGTTTCGCAATCACCAAAAAATAATACACATTCCTACAAATTCACAGCCCTATTCATGACATTATTTGATATATTCATATCTCCTGGTTCCTTGGTCACCCACCTAGCAGGGAGATTTGAGACACATTCCAACTTTAAGACACATCGAAGTAGCACTCATGGTTATAAACTTATAAATATAGAATAATATGGAATTTATTATAGGTTACTATGTAGCCAATAGCTATACTTTTTTTAGACATCAATTCCATTTCTCCGTATTGATTAAGAAAGAAATTATATTTAGTTTTCTAAGAAGTGCCTCAACTGCTTAGGACTCCCCTACATATAAAAATAATTTTTTTCACAAACCTCACGAACATAAGTAAATACTATAATATAACTTACCTGCTGTATAATTGTACGCATGACTGCGCATAGTCCAACTAGTATTATTTTTTTTATTTTTTTTTTATATTGATCCTTTTAGCCCGGCATCGATGGCCATTAGCTGTTAGTAGGTTGTAAGGTGGTGATGGTAGGGTTTTTTGTTGGTGGAGGTTTACACGTGAGTGTTTGTGTTTTGGCAGAATTTCGAATGGGGCACCCGTAGGTTTCTGCCATGCCCCGGAGTGGGGGATGGCGGCACTTGTTCTCCGGACACCGTGACTTGCCCGGAGAAAAATGCCGCCCAGTGGTCGAGGATCGAACCCGAACCGGCAGCGCCGCAGCCGACGCGTTGACCGCTCGGCCACCTCGTCCCCCAACTAGTATTATTGCAATAACATTTCTACCATAAATAAATATATTGTGTATAAGCCAAAGATCAATACAAAAAAAAATAATAATAATCATTACTAAATTATTTTTTAATTGGCTATATTGTTATAAACAAACAAACTTTTATTATAAATAACTTGAATAATAAACCTAATTGTAATTTCTAGGCAACAGTGCATAATAAACAGTTTAGTTTTACAGCAGTCTTATAGAGAAGACATTTTTAAAATCCATTCACTCAAAGCTAATTTTTAAAAAGTTAACTCATCTTTCAAAACTCAACTGAATAATATTATATAAAATGGCAAAGAAAGTAGGAGACTCGGCTGAACTTAACTACGACATGAACTACAATTTGTTTCTGTTGAAGACTTCTATGCAGAATTTGAAAACAGCACAGGGTAATTAATTATACCTATATAATATAAGTATTATATAAATACAGTTATTGTAAATACATCATAATATAGTTTACAAGGTGATTTATTCAACGCAAGACATTTATTATTTCGAAAACTTTTAAAATTTTTTTTTGGAATTATTGTAATTTAATGAAATGCACAAATAATGAATATTAATAATATTAATAATCATCTTTTTTTTTATATGATAAACGTGTATCAAATTTTAGAGTTTTATGTGGTAACACTAAACACATATTATTTTGTTGAATATTATCAATTTATAAAACTATTTTTTTTTATGAACTTCTGTGCTTAAATTTTTTATTAATTCAGTTAGGTAAATTGTTTTTAAGATATAATTATAGTATAATACATGATTAATCATGTAAAAATACTACAGGATACAGGAGAAACTTTTTGTATATTATGTTTAACCTTATCCTTATTATTTAATAGTCGATCATATAAAACATAAATCAATGA